AAGTCACGGGTGAAATCAAATCCAAGATTTTTTGGGCCCAAACTCTTTTGTGTTACCGGGAAAAGGTGTTATAGGTTTCGAGAAACTAAAAGGAAAAAGTTGACGCAAATTGGCCCGAGTTTTCTTCTTACAGAAGGGTTTTTTCTTCAAAAAATTTACATACAAACTTTTTTACTTTTGAATGTTGGCAAACTCATTTTTCTCCAAACAGTCGAAATGTTTTGAAAAAGTTGACAGATTCAGTACAAATTGAACTTGAGATGAGAAAAATTGCTAGAAAATGTACCCACATGACCTTTATAAGTATAACTTCTATTTCTTCTTTAATAATTAATTACTCTTTTCCAACCACTTTCTTTTTCGTTTCGATCAGGCAATAGGAAGAGAAAAACTCAGTGATACCACATCTTGACCACCTTTCAGTCTTGATTTGACAACTTTGGAAGATATCCAAAAAATTATAACAATTGAATACTAGGGATGAAATTTTTTTTTTTAAATAGATAAATCTTCAAAAAGCGTAAAAAAGAGATTTCTGTTCTTGTGATTTAGCTTGTGATTTATCTTTTTTGCGCGCGATTAAGATTTCGAGTCTTAGAATTTTTGCGCGCGATTAACATTTCGAGTCTTAAACGCGTAAGCAAAAATCAAAACTGAACGGAGGATCGCAATTTGGCTTACTAATCCGCTTCTACAAATTCAAGACTTCGTTTTTTAACTTTTCTAATTTTTCAATTTTCATCAAATTTTGAGAACATATTCTAAAAATCTTAGCAAAAACTACATCATAGATTTTGAGCGCCGGCGGAGGGTTAGTTGGTGGCAAATTTTCTGTATTGTATTATGTTGCTTGCCTCTTCTTGCGTACTGCTCTCAGGCTGTCTTGTCTACTCGATACAATCGCAAGAACATCCAATTGTAATTTAATATAGATGAAAATACGTCTAATCTTAGAAGGCTCTGAGTGGCCGGGTTATAATCTAATAAACAAATCAAAAGGAAAGGGTCCGCGATTTATCGGCCAAACCGCCTAATTGCAATTAACTTCCATCTAATTCCACTAACACTAAACTGCTCTCTCTCTCTCTCGCTCTCTCTCTCTCTCTCTCTCTCTCTCTCTCTCTCTCTCTCTCTCTAGAGAACCTCTGATGAGAACTAACTACCTACTGTTTCTGCTATTATTGTTCTCTTACTCCGAGAACCAACTACTCGATTCGCTAGCAAAAATTGGTTCTAAAAAGATTGAGAACCAACTATACTCTCTCTCAGTATCAATTGCTCGCTTCTCTGACTGAGAACCAACTACCCTTAATAGTAGCTAACAACTGTTCTGACTCTTGAAGGTTCTCCGGTAACCTCCATTTCCTTATCTTTCTTTACACTTAGTTTTAGTTAGGTCACGCCATTCCCTATCAGTCCTGGCATCCGCTTAAATCACCCGTCCGCACATGTTTAAGACCATATCCATCCCCCTGTCAACTCTGCCACGTACCCAACTAAATGTATTTTAACAATCTTTTCACGCTTATTAGAGACCCGGTATGCGTAGGTGTCCGGGTCCAAGCACACAAATGTCATACAATTCTAATCAGCTGATTCCTGACCTCTGTTAATTCAGCCGTCGAGCTCAACTCAACCTCCAAGCCATGCTATGTTTACTCAGTGGCCCTCTCAAGGTCTTTATTTTAATTATCCCATTAAAGTTCCGACCTCCCAAGGGTAGGGGGAGACTCTTTTTATGGGTAGCTAATTCTTTCCAAACATCTAAATTTTCTATCTGTTTTCTATTCCAATCCTGACCTTCTAGTTATCAGGGGAACGTAGTCCGCCTATTATTGGTCAACTCAAACTGAAAAGTCACCTACGGGAAGCCAAGTAAAATCCCCGTCCGTTCATTTTTCTTAATTCTCATGCTGCGGTCCTACTACTATCAATTTCCTCTGAAACTACTTTTCTTTAGTCTAATTGAATTGCTATTAATAGACCATTCGCCAAGTTAAACGGAACCAATGTTTACCAAGACCACTTTAAATTAACTCTTATACCTCAAGGTTGCAATGTAACAGCTATATGGCTATAATCTTTTGCTCTAGTTCCCAATATATAAGTTTTATCCCCCAATTTTCAGCAAGGTGACCCATTTGCATTTATAGGGGCAGGATGGGGAATACGCTACTTTCCGGTGTTAATTTCAGAAATTTCTATGCAATTTTGGGGTCAAAACGCCCAAAGATCAATTTAAGGTCACACAGGGGTCACCCGGGGTCAAAATTCCATATTTGGGTTTAGAATCCCATGGGGGTCCTTACAACCAAGTTCCATCCACATCCCATTAATACTTCATAAGTTTTCCGATTTCTAACGTTCATTGTCACTTTTTCTGGAAAAAGCGATTAACACCGGAAGGAGTCGGTGGAGGGTTTTCACTCACGAGGGGTCTTTTTTGGGGTTTTTAGTTTATGTCGATTGCCGCAATAAAATCATTATGCCACCTCTCATTGTTCTGCGTACATTGCCTACTTCCGGACTAAGGGGGTGTTTTTTCAAATGCTAATAGGTTCCGATGTACCTGTTGGAAAAGATTCAAATTATAACACAATATGTATCGTGCCACTACCTATCATCCTTCCTTTTCAGCTCCCTTTCATTGAAGGCCGAGAAACGACTTCCGGAAGTTAGGGGTGGGTTTGTTTACTTAGGGAAAAAAACCGGAAGTGGGGGTCTGGGGTTCCAAACTTAAGCTTTCCTCAACTAGGCCTACAACATACTAAAATTTGAGCCCAATACCGCCGCTAGTTTCCGAATTCTGATAGGGCCATTTACACTTCCGGAGACTATTATCACTTGCCCCCCAAAGGTCTAAGGGGTCCCGTTTTTCGTATGCTCAGGTCGAATCATCTCTAGCATCGCTCTTCTGACTTTCATAACAATAGCTATCTTTGTTCCGATTTTTTGGGGGGTGGGGGGGGGGGGGGGTTTGCCGATTTTGTCAATTTTTATTTTCTGGCATAGGAGGGGCGATATCTTCGAAGAGTGAACTATTTTGAACTCGACATTTTGTTTGCTGTACTACTTAACTTAATGACGAATCAATCTTACGATCAGGTTACTATTAGCCTTTCTATATTGCATGCAAGTCCTTAAGTAATACATTCAACGTTCAGTTCTTAGTTTGCCGAAAAGGTATGACTCTCGTTAGAAATTTTTGATAGAAACTTTTGTCAAATACTCGTATTTTTTTTAATTAAAAACAAACACAGAACAAAAATTTATTCTAGTATAATAACAAAATGAAACAAAACAAAGGGCGAGCTGCAAAATTAAGCGATTTGTTGTATGCAAAATAATGATAATAGTTTAATGACTTAAAAATCATAGGGATGTTTTGATTTTATCGGCCAGTAGAATCAAAATCTGTCTATGGACTATGTTCAACTTGAGTTTGAAGCGCTTGTGAGGGTAACACGTGTCGTTTTGTTTCAAAAAACTGAAGATATCCAAGGGTGCAGTTACCCTGTTATGGCCACGATTAGTGGTCAATCCTGGCCATAGTTTGCGAGTCACTAGAACATAATACAGGTCGCTTGAAAAGTTTTGGAATGGCGTGTCGATGTAGCGAATGCAGTTCTTGCACACACAGTAAGACTGTGAACAAGTTCTCCGAGTTCGCAATCTGAGCATAAAGTGATATGAGTTGTGTTGTGAGTTGTGACGGCGTCTCCCAGAGCCGCTCCGTCGACGACTCCGATGACCCCGCGGATTAAATCGATTGGCGGCCATGATGGGAGAAAACTCGGGTGGTATTGGGCTACTTACTGTAGTCGCAGCATTGGCCATAGTCGAGAGTCCGCTGGAACTGGAATGCGAGTCCTGGAACCCTTTGGATGAGCTAGAACTAATAGATTCTTTCAACGAAGAGTTGAAGTTGTTGGAAATGGATCCTTGCTTTGCCAGCTCATGATGCGACTTTGTTACTTCAGGTCGACTCTGACTCTGGCTTTTGGCAAAGGCATCTCGAAGTCGTTTGGACTTGACCTCTTTGTTCGCATCATCATCGCTGTACAAGGACAGATTAGATAGCGCCATGAAATGAGGCGAAGAGTTTCTTCTGTCTGTAGATGCGGGGATATTCAAGCAAGTTTCTTGCACGTCACGATGCTGCATGTTAAGAGCCGGTCCCACATTTTCTTCAGGCGGTTTCAGGAGCAGATTCGTACTAAGAAGAGATGATGATTTGTTGGATGGAGCAGAAGCTGTATTTTGAAAAATCGAGATCTGCGGTGGAGCTGCGTTGTTTTGAATCACTGTCAGGTCAGGATTCGAGCAGCCAATTTCCACAATAGTAGGTGGTGTCAAAATGTTGAAGGATTTACTCAATGAAGTCTCAGACTCATTACTGTCTTGTCCTTGATTGGTTAGTTTTCTAGTGCTCCCAAAAGGTACTGGGAACATCGGATTGTCATAAATTGACATGTTGGGAGTATCTGAAAAATGTGTCTGCGATCCTTGTCGCCTGAAAAGCATTTTCCTGTTAGGCAGCGGGGACAGGGAATCACCCCCTGGTTCTGCTTCCACCCCAATTGAAGGTACGTCCAGGAACGCTGGCGGGTTATCTTCGTCCCGGTGAGATTTTTGTCTTTCAAGTCGTGCCGAAGTTGAGCATCTTCGTTGCGGCGGCGGCGCGTAAGGAAGAGCCATTGTTGGCGCCGGCGCTGCGACGGAAACTGGGGGGACTTGAGGGGTGCTTTGAGGTGGTCCAAGATGACACGTCGAGGAACCCGCTGAAACCATTCCTGGGTGACTTAGTTTGTACGAATGCGGAACTAGAAGTGAGTCTTTGTGCATGTACACAAGTCCTCGACTGCTGGGTCTCCTGAAACTGGCGTTAGACACAGTCGATGGTCTTCTGAGAGTATAAGTTGACACGTTCAGCGAGGACGGTCCACTCATGCAATTGCGCGCTTCCAGCTGAGCCTAAACAAAACATAGTGAAAAAATAACACATCAAAATGACATATTCATCATAAAACGATTTGAGCGGAAGTATGTTGGATTGATTTTGAGATTACTGATTTTCTATCCAATCTAAGCCCATATGCCACAAACAGCGCCAAATTTTATCTAAGTTAAAACATAGCCAACAGACAGTTAATAGAGACAGACAGTCTGTTGAATGCAATTAAACAGAAAGAAAACGAATTCTTTTTTGAAAAAATCTCAACTTCCGAACTTTAAAGAAAAAAACATACACTCTTTTAGCTCTTTGAATTTCTAGAATAATTTATGAATAGCACTTTTTCGATAAAATCAACCCAATTTGAGAAAACTGGATCAATAGGGAAAGTTTTTATTTCGCTGGGAAATCTGAAAATTAAATTCCACTTTCGAAACCAGAAGTCGATCACGTTTTTCGTGACCTTGGCTGTTCATTAAGGAAATTTGTCTTCCTTTCAACAAAGGAAATGAACTGAATTTGAAAATAAATCAAAAGTCAAACCGCGAAAAAGTGAATTTGAACCTGATCAAATTTTAAGACTGTTTCTGAAAAAAAACGAAAGAAAAAAAATCGCGACCTATATAAGATCTGAACTACGTTCATCGACTTAATAATGTGGTGGAAAATCTTAGTTTTGTCTATTGGAGGGTTTTGTTTTCATCTAATCAACATTTACGAACATAAATGAGTAAACATCGTAAAGTCACGAACTAGTAACTAAGCAGAACAAAATATTGGAATTAAATACAACATCGATATTTAGATCGAAATTTAAAACAAGTCCATTTCGTGAAAATTGATTTTAATCTCGGCCTTTTTTTTGTTTTTCAAATACTTAAGCTGTTGGAGCGATGCAAAAGAAGAAATATAGTAATTTGAAACCATCTGCATGTCAGTCAAATTAAACCCTGTGATACTTTAACCTCAGCATCATTAAAAGAGAAAAGATATTATGCACATCATCTTAAACGTATAGTTTTTCGAAACAAGGTTGCAGCTAAATATTGGAACATAGCCACTAAAACGGTTTATTTGAAACTTTTTCGAAACAAAAAACAAACCTAAATAATTTTTAAAAGTTTCAAATGGCTGCTTTATTAACTAACATAAAATAAACACACTTTGAGAAAACATTGTCAAAAATTATTCTTATTTTTATTGCTTTTAGTAAATCGAAAGATATAATTTTTGGATTGATGTTGCTCCTGAGCAGATCTGAACTGCAATTAGTTTTTAGCAAAATTTCAAAATGCAACATTGAAATATAGATCAGGCATAATCAACTCGTAGTTATAACAAAACTGCTCATATCAGGGCAAAGTTCTGAATAATCTAACTGCCCTTATATCAGAAACCATTTTTGAACAGACACTGTTGAAAAATTGCAAATTTTGACCTGATTGCTTTTACCCAAGCAGCATAGAAACAGCTAATTTTGAAGTTTGAGTCCCACTCCAACCGGTTGGTTCTCTGATCGAAAATTCGCTATTTCAGATCTTTGATAAGAGTTTTAAAAACTCAGATCCAAAATAAAAATGTTCAGAATTGAAATAATCTTGAAAAACAATGCGAAATATCTGAATTAGATCTGAGAAACCATTTGTTAAATTATAATTTAAACATTTCGAGTAAACCATTGATTTTTCGTGTTTTTCTGTTTTTTAACGTTAAATTATTAAAATTTAGATTAGTAACCGGAAGAAAAAACTTTCGAATTATTATACAAAACAGTTTTTTTTTTCAAAATATATTTTTTTCATTTTGTTTTAAGCTTTCCAAAAACTGTCAGAAGACCAATCAAACTTTGATTAGCCTGAGCTATTTACGCATTTCCGATGTTTTTACTCATGTTTTGGGAAACATATAAAAGTCTGCGATTAGAGATTTTTTTTAAGTACGTGCTAGTAGCTAGCAGGAGCCTTAAGTATACAACTATATGAAGTAGCAAAAAATTATGAAAATTATTGTTTTTTTTCAGATCAAAAAAAAACCACAGATACAAAATGTCAAACCTGAAATTTGTCTTCTTTTCAACAAAGGAAATGAACTGAATTTGAAAATAAATCAAAAGTCAAACCGCGAAAAAGTGAATTTGAACCTGATCAAATTTTAAGACTGTTTCTGAAAAAAACTAAAGAAAAAAAATCGCGACCTATATAAGATCTGAACTACGTTCATCGACTTAATAATGTGGTGGAAAATCTTAGTTTTGTCTATTGGAGGGTTTTGTTTTCATCTAATCAACATTTACGAACATAAATGAGTAAACATCGTAAAGTCACGAACTAGTAACTAAGCAGAACAAAATATTGGAATTAAATACAACATCGATATTTAGATCGAAATTTAAAACAAGTCCATTTCGTGAAAATTGATTTTAATCTCGGCCTTTTTTTTGTTTTTCAAATACTTAAGCTGTTGGAGCGATGCAAAAGAAGAAATATAGTAATTTGAAACCATCTGCATGTCAGTCAAATTAAACCCTGTGATACTTTAACCTCAGCATCATTAAAAGAGAAAAGATATTATGCACATCATCTTAAACGTATAGTTTTTCGAAACAAGGTTGCAGCTAAATATTGGAACATAGCCACTAAAACGGTTTATTTGAAACTTTTTCGAAACAAAAAACAAACCTAAATAATTTTTAAAAGTTTCAAATGGCTGCTTTATTAACTAACATAAAATAAACACACTTTGAGAAAACATTGTCAAAAATTATTCTTATTTTTATTGCTTTTAGTATATCGAAAGATATAATTTTTGGATTGATGTTGCTCCTGAGCAGATCTGAACTGCAATTAGTTTTTAGCAAAATTTCAAAATGCAACATTGAAATATAGATCAGGCATAATCAACTCGTAGTTATAACAAAACTGCTCATATCAGGGCAAAGTTCTGAATAATCTAACTGCCCTTATATCAGAAACCATCTTTGAACAGACACTGTTGAAAAATTGCAAATTTTGACCTGATTGATTTTTCCCAAGCAGCATAGAAACAGCTAATTTTGAAGTCTGAGTCCCACTCCAACCGGTTGGTTCTCTGATTGAAAATTCGCTATTTCAGATCTTTGATAAGAGTTTTAAAAACTCAGATCCAAAATAAAAGTGTTCAGAGTTGAAATAATCTTGAAAAACAAAGCGAAAGATCTGAATTAGATCTGAGAAACCATTTGTTAAATTATAATTCAAACATTTCGAGTAAACCATTGATTTTTCGTGTTTTCCTATTTTTTAACGTTAAATTGTTAAAATTTAGATTAGTAACCGGAAGAAAAAACTTTCGAATTATTATACAAAACAGTTTTTTTTCAAAATATAAATTTTTTCATTTTGTTTTAAGCTTTCCAAAAACTGTCAGAAGACCAATCAAACTTTGATTAGCCTGAGCTATTTACGCATTTCCGATGTTTTTACTCATGTTTTGGGAAACATATAAAAGTCTGCGATTAGAGATTTTTTTTAAGTACGTGCTAGTAGCTAGCAGGAGCCTCAAGTATACAACTTTATGAAATAGCAAAAAAATATGAAAATTATTGTTTTTTTTTTCACATCAAAAAAAACCATAGATACAAAATGTCAAACCTGAAACTTAAATCTTAAAAGTATTTTTTCAGATCTGAAATAACCACGAGAAACAAAACATCATATCTGAAATTAGATCTGAAATAAACCATTCTTAAAGTATCCAAGCAATATTTTATTATTTCACGACCCATTTAAGATCTGAAATTTAGATCTGAAAAAAATATATTTTAAAACTAGACGGGGTTGTATAGGAAATTAATTTGACCAATAAGCTTGACTCAATTTTTTGGAACAATTTTGAGTTAGGGATAATTTGTTGGATAATTTGCTGGAAAATATTTGGCAACAAGCTTTCAGCATCATATAAAGAAACTTCAAATCGCGAATCGTTTAGGCCAGAAAGTTGCCAAAGTGGCAATTTCTGAACACCAATTTTACAAATTAAAATTTCCGGTGAAATAATATTTTCCATTCGAACTCAATTTGTTTTCCATTTGAAGAACAAGTTGTCTTAAAAAAAGAACCGGGCATATATGTCCTACTTTCTTTAAAATTCGCAACAAAACATTCAACTTCTACTCATATGTTTTAAAATACCAAACAGGGGTGAAATCATGTTTGCTATTTCAAAAACAGAGAAATTGCAAAATTGAGTAAAAAAATAATGACTAGTTTTAGATAAAACTTAGAGTCCAAGTGAGGCGTTTTTCAAGCAGAATTTTCTCTCTAAAAAGTGAAATAACGTTTTGTGTTGTAATTTGCGGTGATTTCTTGAAAAGCCCAAATAACAAGAATTGCCAAAAATAAAAGCTTCCAGTTTTGAATTGTATCAATTATCTCCTTTTCAGTGTTTCAGAAAATTTCAATAACTCGATTTACAGGAAGCCTTAATTCATAATTGAAATGGCTAAATGATTTGAATCAATTACATTTACTTAATTCGAGCCATCCGAAATAAAGAACTGCATAAGAGACGTTTCGGCATATGACTTCCATTTTCACATTTTTTGCTCTTTAATTCCGTAACTACGAATGGGTCTACACACACTCACACAAAAAATATTGACACATTTTTTAAATTCGCATAAATTGATTTTTGAAGCTCTCCAAAAACGCTACAAAACCGGATTTTGCTTTTTGCGTTGCATGCCATTCTCTACAAAAATAGGCCAAAAAAGCTTTACAACAGTTAATATAAAGATTTATAAATTTAAGAACTTTATTCCTTGTAACAAACCAGCCCTTTCCCTTTTGTAAAAAAGAGAGCAGGCGTGATAAAGTCAAAAAAAAAATTCTGCATGAGACTGACGGATTTGATTTTGTCATTTTGCCATTTTCATTTCGGAAAATAAACTATTTGCATTGATTCTGAGTCATTTTCTACTGTTCTCACTTCAAAACCGCAGAAAACCTATTGGATCAATTCTAAATCAATTTCAATTGATCTCGAATTTAAACCGGACAAATTATTTTCAATCGAGTCAAAATCCAATTAAATCCATCTTTTTGGTCGAAATAAAGCTCTGTTTTTGAGAGATTTTAAGTAATTTAGATCAATTTTAATCCACTTTCTTCAACCTTATTGTACCAAATTATAACTGAAAGTTTCAATATGAAACTTTTTCAGCTAAATGTGAAAAACAGCTATGAAAAGTAATGAACGACTATAAATAACTATGCAGTGTTATTAATTGCTTCAAATTGGAACTATCAGTTTCAAGTTTTCCCTTGTTAAATTTTTTTTTCTTCGCTTTCAGAGCGTAATTAATTGCTCCAAATTGTTTTTCACATTTTTTATTTTTTCGTTCTATGAACTCATCAAAAAATATTGATTTTAAGAACATCATTTGAAAATGTTATATAAAAAATATCACCGCGGAAACCTTCAGATTGCAGAATCTTTAAGAGATCCCCAGAACTATAGGTTTGTGTTGATCAAATCGTCCTGAGATGACTGTAGGTTACTGTTACACTGGCAGAGATTTTTTTTAGACTAAACTTTTGCTCACACTCTGGAGCAAAAACACTTTCGAATTAACTTGAAAACTGCTTGAGGCCACAAAACTGATTTTCGTACAACCGCAAAATTTGAATTAAATCGATTTCGAGGAGATCCGGATGGTTTTAAGTAGTGGCCAAAATCCATCCAAAATGATATAAACAGATTTTTGGTGGAAGATCAGTGAATCGATATATCAGTAAACCGAAAACGGGCAAACCAGATCAATAAGCTAAAAATCAATGATTCAGTTACATGATCACATTAGCTGAAAACTGAGATTGTTACAAAATAACAAATTTTTTCCTCAAAAGAAAAATTGAAATAAAAAATAGAGTAGAATAATTGTTCTCATGCGCCCTGTAGTCTTAAAATTATCCCTCTAGCTCAAACATTTATTCTATAAATCTATTCTATAAATCTTTAATTTCGCAATTGATGTAATTATTACATAAATCGGTTTACTGACCTGGTATTTTACTGACACATCGGTTTACTGTTCGCACCCAGATTTTTAGACACTTAAATCGATCCGATATTTCTGCATGACTTGCCTTAAGTCGATTTCGATTTAAAATCGATTTCAGTTTCAGTGTTTGCTATCCGAAATTCAGGACTTAGCTCCGATTAAAAACAGTTTTACTCAATTTTCAAATTTGTATCAGTACCTATATCTGCCTGAAAAACAACCTATTTTTCTATATCTATATCTATATTCATTCAACAATATCAACACATATCAATGTCAATATCTATTCAAATCAATCTCTATATCTACAAGGAAATTACGTGTCTGTAAAAAACAGTCCCATACAAAACAGTCCAATTCAAAACAGCCCGAAAAGGTATGAAAATGAACAAAAAAAACAGTTCGATACAAAACAGTCCGAAAAACAGTCCGAAGTAATAATTGTTTCAACAAGCCGCCAGGCCGAGAATTGTCCTTTATTCAACAAACATAATGAACAAAAAGAGTGACCGCCCCAGTCGCGTCAACGTGTTGCGAGCTTACCAACAGAGGGTGATACGAAATTTAGTGCCGGTTATCGCCGCGAAGAGGCGACGCGCAGCGCTCCCACCGGCGACCTGAAACCGGACTGTTTTGTATTTGACTGTTTTTTTCCTCCATTACATGATTTTTCGGACTATTTTATATTGGACTGTTTTGTATTGGACTGTTTTGTATATGCACCGAAAGTTAGGATATTTATATCTGTTCTAGTTTTTTCAAGGCCATTCTGAACACAAAATCAATTTGTACAACACGATTGCAAAAACAAGTATGCTGTAATCTAATTCGACACCCATTGAATGCAAGGAAACAAAAGTTACACAAAATTGTTTTTAAAAAACTATCGGCAAACTGGTTAGAAAATTAACTCAGAGCTATTGACAATAAAAACTTAAGTTATACATTTTTTGTCGTATCTTACCATCGCGCCTTGATTTACGCGGTCCAAAACTTCCGTTGGTAATTCTCTTTCAGTCGCGTTACTTTCTGAATGCAAATCAGCAGTTGAAATCCGACCGAGTAAAAGCGGTGTCGGCAGGGTGCTTACGCGACGTACCGCCAGGTGCGAACCCGTTGATTTCGTCGTGGACGTTGAATACTCAGTTACGCGTGGTCCAAAACTCAGTTGCCGTTGCACTGCTGGGTTATTTTTTAGATTAATAGGTGAAGAAGAACCTTCTGTGAGTTTGCGATCTCTGTTTATATTTGTATTTTCTGCTCTGCTAAGTTTTCTGTGGAAATTTTTCTCTGTGTAGCCAAAATGAACAGGCTCCATTTTTTTTCTGGTCAATTTTGATATTCCGTGTTCAGTTAATAGTTTCCTTTTTGGCTCCGAATGCTGATTATAAAAATAAATATTACAATGATGAATGAAGACTTCAATTTGAATAATTTCTTCATAAAATCCGACGCTTGAAGGAATACTTAAGCGGATCATCAATCAATAAAAAAGGACTTGGTTCAAGTTTTGTAACATGTGAAGCAACAATCAAGACTCCATTTACATTTTTTACAACGGATATTAAACGCCAAAGTAGCTCTCATTTATACGTTTTGAAATCGAACATTGAACACTTTTAAAGTGGCGGAACGCGTATAAAAGAACACATAAAATGGGGAAACTATATTTGAAATAGATGCAAGAAAAAAGTAGAAAAATGGATGGTGTAATGTTTGTGTTAAGTAGGATGGCACAGCAATTATAGCGGCTGCCACTTACCATCAACGCCTGCTGGTAGAAATCAGCGTGTGAGCAAAAACTGGATGTCTTCCTCATCATCCCTGGACTGTATGCCACCCCTCCCCCTGCAGCGCCCCCTGCGCCCGCTTGCAACATACATTCCTGCTGCAGTCTCATCGCCGCAGCATGGGGCACTGTCAGGCTATCCTGTCGCAGTGAATTACTCACATCACTGTAAGTTATAATTTGTTATAATCAATCAAAAGCAGCCGAGTGGATTTGATTATAGTTTTCCCTGAATTTTTGTAACTTTTAAATAGCTTTGACTTGTTTTATTTTGGTTTGAAAAATCAACTTCGACGGATGCGCCAATCGACACTCGATGTTTGATACTATAAAAAATTTATATAGAAAATAATAAGAGAAACCGGTTGGTGCGCAATTAGCGCAGAATCTTCCGACCACAGTTAAAAACAAGAAAAATTGAAAAAAAATTAAATTTCATGATAACTTATTTAGGCTTTTACTTTTCTGCTGATCTCATCTAATTAACTGTAAAACCAGGGGCAGATCTAGGATTTGGTCGAGGGAGGGGCGGATTTTCAAAAAATTGTCGAAAAGTTTTGTCTTAGGTCGACCAAAAATTGTCCCCCCTCCCAGAGCTCCACAAAGACCATATTTTTGCCCAAAATTTCAGCGCCGCAGGCAGAATTTGAAAAAAAACGGGCCAAAAATAGCTTACCAAAAATCTTTTTTTTTTCGGCGCGCGTTCCCCTCTAAAAATTAGTTTATATTGGCACCTTTTTAGAAAAGTATTAAGGTCCGTCAGCCAAAATGGATATCTCAAAATAGTACAGAGGGGGAACCCTTTGGGTCGGCATGGGGTCGAATCCTAAGAAAAAACGTAAGCCTACCACCACCCCCACCCCCACAAATCCGCTCCTTTGTATAACGACTACAAAATTTCTGCATATTTCATCAAACTAACTGTATAATGACTTAAAAATTTTGGGATCTGCTTTTGAATTTTTCAAAAATTGAACACTGACTGAACCATTTTGATGTAATTTGATCATTTCGTCTTGAAAAAATTTCAAAACTGAAAAACCAAATATTAAATAATCTTAAAAATTAAACCCCCCAGAGGGACCATCCAAAAAGGTCCCGTTTTTTGGTATTATTTTAGGGCATCTCTTTTTCCCAAGCGATCCTAAAGTTTTTCTAAAGGCGCATTTGGCTCCAATATATTCTCATTTTGAGGGGGAACTTGTGTTTTCAAGTATTTTTTTTACCTGTCTGCGGGGGAATTTGCTGCTGAGTGTGACATTAGGAGCCGAGTCGACTGGTGCTAGTCGTGCATCGGTAAAGCACGTGTCCCGTGGAACAGCGTAGGTGCAGTCGAGAGTGTTGCCGCGATTGAGACTGCGGGAGCGGGTGATGGAGGAGGAGCGCGGCTGACGATCCAGAGTCCGAACTGAGGGGTTGAATGACATGTGACCACCTCCACCTCCACGTGCCATTGAATTTCTGTCAAGAAGTTGCAAAGTATTTTATTAAGTTGTCAACAGTTGATTCAGATGAAAAATATAATGAACATAACCAACCAGGGGCGGATTTAGGGGGGTGGGGCGGGTTGGCGGACGCCTCTTCTTTTCAGGGATTTAACCCCCTGCCGACCCAAAGGGTCCCCCCTTTGGTACTTTTAAGAAATCCAGTTTTGGCCGACGACCAACCTTAAAATTTTTCTAAAGGCGCCTTTGGCGCCAATATATACTAATTTTGAGGGGGGAGCGCGCGCCAAAAAAACGCAATTTTACGGTCAAAATTTTCCAAAAAAGTGCCTAAAAACGCCTTTTTTGACCTATTTTTTCAAAATTTTGCCTGCGGCGCAGAAAATTTGGCCAAAATAGGGACAAACAGTGCTTTGGGAGAGCTCGAGAAATCAATTTGGTCGACCTAAAAAAAAGGTCGACAAAATTTTCGAAATTTTTTTGAAAATCCGCCACCCCCCCTCGAGAAAATCCTAGATCTGCACCTGTAACCAACTGACAGTTGAAAAAGATAACGCACGAAAGTAAACGGCTCTTTTTCCTTTTCCCCCCAACTGCAAAGTTTTGTTCACGTTATCCAAACTTTACAAAAATTGGCGTGCGAACTGAATAGGCCATGACAAACATATTTTGTCTTCATGTTTAACCTTGTAAGACCACTCATTACACCATAAAATTGATGCTTATGTGAGGTGGTGAGGGAAGGAAAAAGTGCCAAGGAAACAGAAAAAAAACAGACTTGTTTTCTGGAAAATTTTTTGAAAATTAAAGAAAAAACATATACCCTTAAAGCTCTTTGAACTTCACAAACAATTTATGATAGGTGCTTTTTTCATAACAATAACCCAATTTAAGAAAACTGGATCAATAGGGAAAGCTTTTATTTCGCTGGGAAATTTGATAAATAAATTCCACTTTCGAAACCAGAAGTCGATCACGTTTTGCGTGACCTTCACATTTTTGCTGTTCGATTGTGGATTTTGCAAAAAATCAAAACTGAGCTTGAAAAATTTTTAAAATTTTTTCATGAAAAAAACACTAAAAAATCACCAAGGCCTATATAAAAGTACTAATTATATTCCTTTTTCTCAATCAAAAATGATCATGGAGGGTGGCGTGCCGAATGATAAAAGCGCCGAAAAGTTAGAAAAAGAAAATTAGCCGTAGTTGTTAACTATACCCGCTATGGTAGCTTGTAACGAATCCCCCTCCCCCTTATTAAGAAAGCATCGAACAATTCAGCATCTACGAATTTTGTACCTTGTAACGAATCGTACCCGTTGCAAAAGAGAGATAGTGAGATATTTAGCAAGGTCCAGTTAGACTATCAGAATTGATTATTCAAGTGCTCTAAAACTTCATTTAAGTCAAGAGGATATTTCTTTTGACAGTGTCCCTGGGTTTTTCTGATTTTTTTTGAGGTTTTCGCGATTTCTCTCAATTTTTGATGATCTCAATTTATGCCATTACTATTTTATGCAATTTTTTTCCAACTTTCAATTCTGATTTGCCATTATTGTTCCGATTCTCGCAACGAAAGGCACGGAATATTCTTGCTCTGAGTGGGTTTTTTTTCTTCAGACAAATTTCGGCTTTTTAAATAGCCTTTTTCACGGAATTTATATCATCTGAATGTTTATCATCTTTCAAATCATCTGAATGATATTGTTGACCTGAGCTCAAATTTGAAAAAAAATTCATCTAGGATCTTTTTTCATATATTGATGAGGGTTTAAAGATTGCCATTTTGGGTCATTTGGGATAATTAACGCGCGATATATGTCGCGCTTAACGCGTAAGCGGAGATTTAATCCCTCATAGAAATTGTTCCAAATTGGTTGAAAGAAGCTTATTTGTCATAATTTCTACGTTACTAGGAGCAAAATTCATCACTGTGTACTTTATATGGAGTGTGGGGGATGATTTAAGAAAAACTAAAAATTTGCGCAATTTTTTTGTTTTCGCTTTTTTTTTGGAAAGTTCATCATTTTTTCAAAATTGAATACTGTTTTATAGACCTTAAAAATGAGTCGGAACATTCAAGGCTTTGCCCTGATACGAGCAGTCTTGAATTTTTTTGTTATTTTTTCCAATTCTCAATTCTGATTTGCTATTGCTATTTTAAATTATTCCCTGCTTTATTTCGACACAAAAAATTTTACGATTCAAAGTTTCCCCCTTGCGGTTCTCTGTGAAGCGCGCCCACCGATAGGTCCCTGGCATATAGTTTTAAATCATGTTCTATTAATTTTGCTCTCGGTTTTGCTCACGAATCTCCCCCAACAGGGGAGGGGGAGTTTCGTTACTAGGTACAAAATGTACATATACTTAACCGTTGTGAATTAGTTTTTTATAATTAACCATTGTGAATTAATTATTTTTTATAAGAGTGGCTATTCGTTACTAGGTGCCAAAGAGGGAAATATTAAAAAGATCCGGTATTTTTTTCATCCGAATAGAAAACCTTGTAGAGCATTCGATAAGGCCAGCAATTCAAATCGCCGAAGTTATCAAATTTGCCCTTGTACTAAAAATTAGATCCCAATTTGCTTTACGTGAGGGTTTTGCTTACGCGAGGACCCCCCCCCCCCCTAGGATTCGAGACACGATACAAAATTACTGCTAGGTGACCGGGCTACCGCTTAGCATGCGGCTATTAGGCATTTAGAATTGAGTTTGTTTTCTCACATTTGCAACGAAAACTCATTTTGAGTATTATTTTAATTGCGCATGCTAAGCGGCACGCATAGAAGTTGCAAGGCCCCCAGATGGTTACATCCATTCATGATTTAGGGTCTTTATGTCCGCCACAGAGGCGGATCTTGGATTTTCTCGAGGGGGGGGGGCGTTTTAAAAAAAAATCGAAATCTTTGCCGACCTTTTTTTGACAAAATTGATTTTCCGAAATGAAGCCTTTAAAAATTTAAGGATTGATTGATCGAAAATGAGTTTCATGAAATAATACCAAAGGGGGACCCTTTGTTTGGTGAGGAGGTCAAATCCCTGAGGGGGGAGATAAAAAATAAGATAATTAGAATAGTCACAATGCAAACTATCTTCAGGGATATGGCGGTCCAATATAACCAATCTTTTCATAAACAGTTCCTGTCTGCAAACTGATTAGCAGGCAGCAACATATCAAGTCCAATTTCATCTACTGATTTTGTATTCGGCTTCTTATGATTTCAACGCCATCTATTGATTTGATTTGTTAAAATTACCGAAAATGATTAGAAGTTTTTTCCTGATTGAACTATGATGCATATGCCCAGGGGCGGATCTTAAATTTTCTCAAGGAGGGGGTGGGTGGGGTTTCAGGAAAATTGTTTTTAGGTCGGCCAAATTGGTTTTCCGAGCTCTCTCCAAGCACTAAACAGACCCTGTTTTGGCCAAATTTTGTGCGCCGCATGCAAAAATTTGAAAAACCGCCTAAAAAGGCATTTTTAGGCCTTTTTTGGAATATGTTGACCAAAAGTTTGCGTTTTTTTCGGCGCGCGCTCCCCCCTCATTTTCTAAAGGCGCCTTAAGAAAATTTATAGGGTCTGACACCACAATTAGGAAATGGATATCTCAAAATAAAACGAAGGGGGACCTTTTGGGTCGGCAGGGGGTCGAATCCCTGAGAGGGGGCGTCCCCCCCCCCTTAATCCGTCCCTGCATATGTCTCCATTCTGAGAGAGATTTTTTTGTTCGTAAAACCTTTTGATAAAAATAAATGAAAGTACGGAATTATGGAAAATAATATAATTCAATCAAATATGATTAATCAATAATCTCAGGAAATCTCAATTCTCGAATAAATCCAATAAAGCTTAAGGCAATCAAATTGATATTAGCCGAGCATGAAGTTGGCAGATAATACAACCAGGTTGATTTGTGTTGCTCGCAGGCTGACAGCCCAGAGACATGAACTGTTAATGAAAACACCTTCTAGTTCCCGGGTCTAGATTGCGGTTTTATGATCAGACGGTCGCGACCAGTATTTCCAGACTGCTGTGACCGAAACTGGACATTTTCAGACCGCCGCGACCAAAATTCGGTATTTCCAGACTTAACGGACCGAGGCAATGTATCCGCGACCGGCGCGAAAGAAAGTGATTCGCGACCGGCGCGACTGAAGGAAAGTTAGTCGCGGTGGTCAAAAAAATTAGTCGCGGCCTTCAAAACTTAGTCGCGGCGGTCGAAAAAAACTAGTCGCGGCGGTCGAAAAAATAGTCGCAGCGGTCAAAAAATTAGTCGCTCATGGTCGAAAAATTAGTCGCGACGGTCGCAAAATTAGTTGCGGCGGTTGAAAATATAGTCGCGACGGTCAAAAAATTAGTCGCGGTGATCAAAAAGTTAGTCCCGGCATGGTCGAAAAATTAGTCGCGGTGGTCGAAAAATTAGTCGGTGTGGTCGAAAAATTTGTCTCGGCATGGTCGAAAAATTAATCACAGCGGTCCGAAAATTAGTCAGACCAGTCAAAGTTTAATCGCGGCAAGGTCAAAAAATTAGTCGCGGCAGTCGAAAAACTAGTTGCGGCGGTCTAAAATTTGTTGAACTTGCTGCGAGTAATTTTTTGACCGCCGCGACTAATGTTTCAACCATTGCGACTAATTTTTTGACCACCGCGACTAATTTTTGACCGCAGCGACTAATTTTTTGACCGCCGCGACGAATTATCCGACCGACGCGACTAAGTTTTTTTCCGCCGCGACAAATTTTTCGATCATTGCGACCAAGATACGGTATTTCCAGAGTTTTTCCGCGACTAAAAAATCCTGTCCAGACTATAAATTTTCGGTCGCGGAATGAACATTTCCGCGACCGACTAAGTCCAAAAAATTAGTCGCAGACTTCGACCCGGTTTATCGGCGTGGAAAGCAAACGCACAAAAAGCGCGCAGCAAAAGCTCACTGGAACAATTTTACAGCATACGTTTTTCAGCTCATATTTTCAGCACAATTCTAATTTTATTTCCGCATTTGTACATCTTTT